TGCCTCCGCAACGATGAATATACCATACCACAACTTGTGTACAGTGAACAGAGCTTCGATTTTATTGACGAGATTCAACTCATAACGGAAAAAATGACATTTAATATTAAATACGTCTCTGTGCAACGTGTGCCAGAGGGACATCAGACTTTGCAAGCCACCGTCGGCTCCGTTTGAACCGGTTTTATTTTATTTTTATTCGCAAATTTCGACTCTATGGACGGCTACAATATCTATGCAGGCTACTATACAAGAGATTGTGGTCTAATTATTCGTGACAAACAAATTTTTTGCTTCATTTGTTTTCAAGATGCAAGGCCAACTTGATTTTTTTTAATGGCACTACCATATAATTAATGCATTTTTTAATAGGGCTAGAGAGAACAGAGCACAACTTCTTGTACCTCTGTATCTAATTTCAGTTGATTTGTACAATTGGTTCTCAGGACATTTAACCGTTTCCATTCATTCTAGCCACCCTGTATAGGTAAAGCCAATGGATTAAGAACCATGGATAGCTTCAAAAATATCACTGGGTCAACGGATCGTCTACGGACATTTTGGTCGAAGCAGACTAATTGTGATGAATAATTGTGTGCTTCGTGGTTTAAAGAAACAATTTTCAAAATATTGTTTATGTACCGAATTTTAATTTTAAGGTATATATCGAGGTTTTTAATTTGCTCATACAGTTGTGTTTTTAGATGTTTCAAGTAACTGATTTGTTTGGAGTAAAGAGTCCGTAGGAATTCTCGAACGTGTACTGAAATAGAGTTAACCTGTCTTGATATAATAATTTTCCTGATATCGACATCGTTGGTGTCAAAATTGTTAACAACAGTGAGCAAAAACGGCTAATATTTGTCATATATGTACCGCCTCAAATACATATGTGCCCAGAACTTATTTGGAGCTTTTTTGACGAACTCAACTGTTGTATAGTTGATAAAAATTATGAATCACTCATTAAGGAAGATGTTTATCAGTTATCACGCTGCCCTTTATACGCACTTCGAAAGATTAGACAGAAAACTCCCTCGTTCAGTTGATTTTAGTACAGAGCATATTTCATCCTATAATTTTAGAAAAGCCAACTTTCCCCTCCTTTGTCAATCAATAGCTTCAATTGATTGAACTTTTTTGGCGTCTCTGAAAGATATTGGTCAAACTTGCTCAATGTTTTACGAATAGCTGAATGATATTTTTGATTTATCAGTTCCTAAATACTTAAGACAAACACTATCCACCTTGGTTTTTTCCAAAGGTCATTAACTGCTTACAAAAAAAAAGTCCATGCGTCGACAATTTAAGGAATATAAAACTCGTTCATAAATACCTGGATCTATTTAAGGTGTATCGTTCTTCCAGTAGAAGACTAATTGACGAAGCATGTAAGCAATATAAGACTAAAATGGAGCTTACATGTTCTAAAGACCCAAAAAAATGTTGGGACTTTGTGCAAAGCAAAACATGCACCCCACGTATTCCAGCTCTTATAACCTTTAATAATACTGAACTGTCTTTTCACCTCGAAATAGTTAATGTGTTTGGCGAAGCTTATTCATCAAAACATCTCCGTTTGACGAGGAAAATATATCACTTTCGCAAAACTTTTGCCACTCTATTTCCGTAACCAGTTTTAATGAAAATGACATCTTAAGACAATTACAATACGCTAAAGACTCTCTTACTGCAGGTGTTGATAACATCCCCTGTTTGATCTTAAAATATTGATCAGTTTGAAAGCAAGCACATATTTGTCCAATCTTAGAAAAGGAAATAAGAACGACATAAAGAACTATAGACCCATCTCGTTAATAAGTAACTTTCTTATAGTATTTGAAAGTCTTTTGTATAAGAAAATCTTTAACACAACAAAAGATTTAATCACGCGATTTCAACACGGGTTTGTGCCTAAACGCTCTATTATTACAAATCTGGCGGTCTTCTCTCAATTTGTAAGCGAGGCTATCGATGCTAAAGAACAAGTGGAGTAATTTTCACTGATTTTCAAAAGGCTTTTCCAAATATTTGTTGAATAGACAATTTTTTGTTAGATATCGAAACTTCGTTTCGATTAGTTTTACCCCCACATCTGGCGTTTTAAATCTTGGCTCTTTGCTATTCCTACTCTTTATCAACGACCTTGCGAGTGTCGTTACGTCACATAAATTAGTGTTTCCAGATAATTTGAATTTATATTGTAAAATTTGTTCCACGGAAGACTGCTTAATTCTTCAACATGATATTGAGTTCCTGATTGTTTGGTGGAAGCAAATGCTGTTTTATTGCACTATAATTTGTACTTTTGTATGTATGTTGTATTATTAATTAAGAGATCTGCTATGTATAATGAAATAATGTCCTGGGAATTTTATTTGACTTACGACTCATTGTCACGATATGGAATCTGAATCAAAGGAAATTTCTTAAATTTTAACTTTTATTCAAGATGGTATTTATCCCCCTCGAAGATATAGACACTCGATTTTGTTAGACAGATGTAGCTTTGTTTCTTTGAGTAAATATCGTTATATGTTATGCGATAAATTTGTTTACAACATTGTACACAAAAATCAAATTTTATAATTTTTTAAAGAGTTGGATTTGTCGGATTACACTTATAGCCTTCGGCCAATTTTTTATTGACCAAATTAAGAACCTCATTTTTTGATTTGCTCATTCAAAAAAATTAATGAATCAATCAATTTATTTTATTGAATAAATCAAGAATTGCAAAACTGAATATGTACCTTGAAATCTTGCAGACGTTTTAAAGTTATTGTAAGCATGGTAAATATTCCGCAAAAAATTGATGACATCATCTCAAAATTTTGCCGAATAAATTCTACCCAAAATGTGTAAAATATGATAAGTTTTACTTGGGATTTATCATTGCATTCATATTTTTTAGATTTGCTTAAACAGGTGGCTAAAAAAAATTAACGAATGAGCCAATTTATTTTATGAATTAAATTAGGGACTTTTTTCAATAGATAAGATAAATTTAATAAAATTAATCTTTTTCTAATTTTTTATTGATAAAATTCAGTCACCCGGTTTTCTGGAAAATGTGAGAATAGACACGTGTTTATTCACTAATAATAATTAAATAAGAATACTAATGATATTCGCGAAAATTTCGTTTGATTGTAGCTTAATTAATAATTTTAATCCTCTGTTTTGAGGCCATAAATTCATTTAAATCAAACTAATTTATACGTGAGATTCTTCCGATGTAGACGCATAAACACTTTAAGTTGTTATTATTGCCGAGGGGCCATTTTTACTATTGACCGTAAGCTAAGAAAATATAGTATCGAGTTCATCGGGCCACTTTGTACTTTCATATTTCTCGTCGTTTCATGATCCGTAAATAAAATGCAATGTTTTATTTAATAAACGGAAGTCGAACCAATAAAAAAGTCTGGACCATCGCATCCTTGTTGATATTATTAATCTCAGGATGCTGCTTTTCTCAATTCGTCTAATAGATCAAGATGTTCCCGCATACCACTTAACTCATAATTAAACCACTTGAAATTTTTTTGTAGAATTTTTATAATAAAATACCTAGTTATTTTTAATGAAAACTAAATCTATTTCATGCATATATTATATAATTATATATATTTAATAGACCTATTTGAGTTAATGGTCTAAATTACATAGAACAAGTATGGTTTCCTATTTGTCATTTAGATTATTATTATAGGCACTAATTTGTGATTCGAAAGATGAGTTTCAGTGACCTTTATCGTCAGTGATGCAAGATCAGGGCTTGTTAATATCTCATCTAGACAATTTTGATTACGAGTTAGTTTAGAAATAAGAATTTAGATCGAACGATGTTATAAAGTCTCTGGAGTACAAGCTCTGACTTCGTACGTTTTGTTTTCTATTTTTAGATAAGTAAAAAGTCTATTTAGGATTTCTAGAAGGATATTAAAGTCTTCGTTGTGGAGTGGAGGAGATATGCTGCTATTATGTAGAAATTGCTGCTAATTCACAATACATTTCTGTTGAATATTTTACCACAACAAAGAGATTAATAAATTCAAAATTAAACTCGAACTAATAATATAAGCACCTCCAGGTGTATTTATTGTACGAAAAAAACTAGTAGCTAGCTATTTTATAGTTACATATTCAGTTTTTGTAAAAGTAGTTATAAATAAGCTACTGAAAACAGCCATCACATGCTCTGTAAAAGACAATAATTCTTCCCTCACTATAGCTTGTTTGCACCAATTTATGACATTGCTCGTGCTTGTTTTACAGTATACTTAGTGCATGCTGTAGCAGAAACAAAACGGCGAACATCTGAAATTTATCCATCATGTTTACGACCACCTTCAATGAGTACTCAACGCTCAACATGAAAACTTCAATAGCTTTTTCACAGAACTGCAATCGCGAGTATAAAATATGTTTGACGTCTCCCTTGAGGCGGTACACGACAATATTTTCTCTATAATGGTTCTCTAGAATTAACAACATAATAATCCTCAAGAGAAAGCGTATCGAATCCATCTACAAGGTACATACCAACAGCACAGTTACAGTACACCCACGAAGGTAAACAGGGGCTAAACATTAAATTTGCATTCACCTTTGGTAATTCGATTACGAGCTATTATCTCACGTATTCGAATACTTCCTCCAGTTTAAGGTTTCGTCACGTATCTTCATAATAAAATTATCTCGATATTAAGAAAGTTCAGCGACAAACCGGAATTAAGTGTCAATTACAACGATTTTGTGCGTGGGTGCCCGAGACCGCAGCACGAGGGAATTTTTCCTCGATATCGTGTAACCGACGAATAAACAAGATAAAGCTGTCCCGTCTACTCCAAATAATTATTTCAATAAGGAGAGTAAGTGTAAAAGCACTTATAAATTTTGTTATAAATAGCGAAGAAACGCAAGCGCGTGCTTTTATTCGCTTTCAATTCCACTAACCCACATTTCGTATCAAACAGTTTGGCATCGCTATTTGATAAAGGAAGGCGTGCAGAGCTTTGAGAATCCGCGGCATCTGTTCGGACGAACTTTCGTAAACAATCAAATCCGAAGACATTCCATGGAACGAATTTGATTTTTATTGCGACGATGCGATCCGCTATTATTATCTCATAGACAAGTAAACTTCACAAACAGGTGCGTGTTTTCCCGCTTTTGGTGTTTCATTATTGTGATCTTGACACGTGTGATTGATGTAGCTTTGTTATGATTTCCCTCTTTATTTCTGAGTGTTGTTTGGTCTTCGAATGCACGTGGAAGGTGTAAACACTTTTCATTTTCTTAAGCGTAAGTCGATAAAATTTTATTCCGTCAACTTTATTACTTTTGTCCAGAGTTGGAACGGGTAAACAAAACGTTTCGAACAAGCCGTGATTCGACAAGTGGTTTTCGGATTTAATTAAATACGAGTTATTTGACGCAAATTGCATAGCAGATCATTTTTCGCAGGAATTTCAGAATTTAAAAAATCAGTTAACAACATTTTCATTTAGTCATTATACGCTTTAATCTGCTTTTTCAGAAAACGCGTAATGAAAAACCACTTCGAAATCTATGACTTTCTAAAATAACTTTGTAGAAACAAATTTTTCACTAAATACTGGTGATTTCAGTTCATATTGCTGTTAAATCTGAAGTATCCATAAACATCCCTTGCAATTTGACGTGGACACGTATAAAATACCAATGAAATATGGAACGTTTACAACTTCCTTTGACATTTCAAAATTATAAAAAGAGCATGGCATAAATCAAGCTGATTTACACTCATTTTATATCTTACATAATCAGACACAAATCAAACGACTGGCAATAAATGTTGAAATGAAAGAGAAATGGCAAATCCGTATTCATCAAAAATTTACCAGCGTATTAGATTTATTGTATGTTATAGCAAATCAGGTTCACGGTTTAAATATTATTTCTGCTTGTTTCGCTTTCCCGCAGTTTGTAATAATAACAGCACATATTTTTAATTATGTATATATATATATTTTATGCGAAATTTTAGCATTGTTTAAAGTATCGGTTTTTAAATATTTACGTGTTTACGATGAATTCGCCAAAATCAAAATGCCATTTTCTTATAACTGTGAGTTAAACATATAAATTTATAGGCAAACGAACAATTTATAATAACATTGCATATAAATATCAGTAATAATCTGCAAATTACAGCATAGTGCGCAAATAAAACTTTTTAATTTTATTAGCATATTTTTATATTTGTATACCTAAGTGGTGCCCCTAGTATTTTTTCTATTATCTAAATAATGTAATGCATGATTTCTATCAGATTTTTGTTATAACCACAACAACAAAAAATTTCTTTTTGGGTCTGGAATTCCTTTTTTTTTGTGCAGTCCTAATTTGAATCAAAACACTAACAAAATAGTATGTTACTTGTCAGGTGTTCAATGTCATGACCACTGCATGATTTCAAGGTTAAATTTAAATGATTGTGTCTAAAATAAATGGCTTTAAATATAATTTAATTTTAGTCCTGGTAAAGTCGGAAGTGTTGCATTAGCAATTTCTGTCCGAAAATCGTACTTAAAGACAAGGTGATTATGGATTAAAAAATTCACCATATCGAACCGCATACAACTGGTGGTAGATAAGACCCTTCGTGATGCTCTTGTTCTTAAAACTTTTAATTTTTTGTGACTTAAAAGTAATATTCTACACTTGTATTAGCAAATAAATGTAAAACTTATCTATTTATAAATAGTAGCTCTTACTTAAAAAATATTCATCTTCCTAAAGACTACTTTTATAAATATGCTTGATGTGGTTAAAGCATTTTTTTTCTTCAGTTCGTCGTCAAACAGAATAGAAAGACCGGATCTTTTACACCCAGGGCAAAATTGGTGTAAGTGACATTAAAGGATCAAACATTTCAGAGTAATATGGAGTCTATATTGCGTTCTACATTGAGTTGGTAAATTACAAAACTCATAAAGTCATAACTCATAACTAATCATAAGCAATCCGTTAACTAATGAAAGGATTCTTGGCGGTGTTATCAGTTCTTAAAAATTTACCGATTTTCTGAAGAAGTCGATACATGATTTTGCCTAAGCTAAGGAAGTATTTATTGTCATGCTTTCTCAACGTTTCATGACAACTAGAGTACGATAAGTAGGTCTCCCTGTTCCGTCTATTTCTCTATTGTCTGTCTGTGTCGATTTTTATTAGACAATTAATTACTTGACCAATTGTCAAATTTTAAAAATGTATGTTAGGAATATCGTGTAGATGATAAAACCAGCGATTCAACATTTTGCGTAGTAAATACCACTAAATTTTATAAAGTAACATACACCTGTACTTGTGGTTTATAAATCTGCTTTGATTTTTTACAGCTACTATAAAAAATGATTTTGCAATATTTGTCACATGTTTCGTAGCCGATAGCTGGCCTACGCAGGAAACAAATAGTCGTAGCCGAGTGTTTAAAGCATTGATATAATAAAGGAGTGGATGGAGCCTTGTATACGTTTCCATACGCAGGCGAGTGTAATCAACATAAGAGAGAAATAGCTAGACCGGTTATGCGTCAGTGGGGAAAGGACGGCTGACTGGGTGTCACGTGCTGAGTGGCAAGAAACGCTTCATTTGCACGGGAATTAATACGTTTTCTTCCGAATTTGTTCAAACAAATTATTATAACAAACGTTTATTAATGAAAACTATATTTTCACAGCTTACATTATAATTATATATAATCTAAAATAACAGAAATCGTGTTAAGCGATGGAAATCCTCTTTTAATAAAATGAAATGTGTGCAGAATCTACAATACATTACGAATTCAGTTAATACAACAATCTTCTACAAGTTACCGAAATCTAATAGTGTACAATAATTGTTTTTTCAAGCTAACATTTGGAAATCTGAATTTTTAGGATAAAAGTAATTAAACTTTCGGAATAACTAACAGTTTGACTAATTTAATTAAACATATTAAATTGTGTGAATTCTCTACCAAGATCAATTTTTTAAATTCACGTACAATTAACTAACACAATAACCAAAAATGAGTTAAAAAATAATAATATTGATTAATGAGTAAAGTGTGTTTAGGTACCTTGTTGGAAATGAACGCCTTCGCTTAAGTATTCTTCTGTTTTTTTTATTTTTGCATAAATGTTCAGGAAAATTAAAGACGCTGGGAATAACATCTTTCTTCAATTGTCTTTTACCAAAATGGATTATGAAATCTGATCCTAGAAAATGTTTTCCACAAATACGAGTATTTTCAGTAGGTATAAAATCCTCCCTTTTTGTAGCTATAATCCATTTTTTCGTAATTCGGGATGTTTAGGGAATCTAACAAAATTTTTATATTATGCGAAATCCTTCGTTTGTATACAACATGTAATTACTACCTGTGAAATGAAATAAAATTGCTTCCGTTTGCACGTTCCGTGCAGTTATATGCACAACACGATTTCACCATACTTAACAAATAGTTCGATAAAATGCAACCTAAGAACACTACTAATTTGAATAATCGTAACTTGAGTTCACTAAACGTAATTTTGCAAACAAAACACCTTCACACACCATGCGAGAGCACGAAAGAAACCTCCCAGAAACACATTGCCGGGCAATTTCGCGCCAATGTGTTGCCACCCAAAGAAACCCATCTCTGTCCGACTGTGTTGACAACGCGCATCTCTCTCTAAGTTACTTCCATATAATATTATTTCTATGGTTTAAAGCGTTGAAATTGAGCTCAGTTCTTGTGACCGCTGCCCACGAACAAGTCCAGTTCCTTTAAAAATTCATAAACTTTGATTTTGGAAAATTTTGCTTATTTTATGAAAACCTGTACAATTAAAAAATATAGATAATACCAGTCACAGTATAGAAAAAAAAAAGATTCGATAACCATAAGATATTTGACATATGAACAAAATATCGGCTACATGAAACATGCGGAAAATATTCCGTTTTGTACAATAATTGTGTTAAAAATCAAGGCGGATTTATAAACCACAAGTACAGGAGTATGTTATTTTATAAAATTTACTAAGCAAAATGATGAGGAGAGTCATCAAATTGTTGTACAATCTGTACAATAGAGTCGGATACTATCTATCTAATAAATATCAACACAAACAGATGAAAACGGAAGACCTATCTTTTCATACTCTGAGGATTATGAAACGAAGAGAAAATATGAAAGTAAAAAATTGTTCAAGATGAATGTGATAACAGTGACTATTTTTCACGGTTTTTGATTTATCTATCTAAATCGATATTTTGTTTTTGTAAGTGAACATAAATTTGATGTAAGGATTTTTTTTTTATCATTTTTCCCGAACTTAGACTTGTGAACTGCATAATGTACAGTTGCGCCATTTTTTGAGCGCCCTGCATATCTATATGTTGTTTTAGAATCGCGTCGATAATACAGGAAAATGTAATATGTATTCTAATATCAAAAATAGCAAAAAATGCTAAGCTAGCTAAGTTAGAACAAAACTTTAATATCGCGCAATCGCATTTATTCACAATCGTAAAATATCCGAAATATACAAATCATGTATCAAAAATTTGGAACTACCCTTCTTTTTACGAAATGCAAAAAAATATGGCATACAAATTTTTTTTCAAAAATAAAACATTACACTAGCAAAAAATGAAAAAAAAATCACCACATATATATTTATATAGGTGGGTCACTAACCACGCGGTGTTCAGGATCTCTTTTAATTACTAGAGATACAACAAAAAGTCAAAAATCAAAGTTGTATGGTTATTTAAGGGCTGTACTCTAAAGTTATTTTTAACTGTACAGGGTATTCTATTTTTAAGGTGTAACACAATTTTTTTAATGAAACACCCTATATATCTTTACTTATTTTCGTTAGCCTCTTCCCAGGCTACTACGGTTTATTTGACTTTGCCACATTATTTCAATTTGCTTGAAAATGTTTGACAACACAAGGGTTCACAAAAAAAATCGCAAGAGTTATTTTTTAAAGTATGTCCTACAATATGTTGTGGATGGAAAAAAAGTACACGCTTTGTTATAGTATACCTTAAATGAAATTGTGATATACAGTGTTTATATATATATATTTTTTTTATTATCACAGTTTTCAAATGTCGATATTTCAGTTTTT